TTGTAATGTCACACAAGTAATAATCTCAGGGTTTACTGGGTTTTACATGATTATTTTTGTATTGGTGGTGGTATACTAAAAAATAAACATTGTCATGTGTTTATCTTTCTTCTTCTCCTCACCGATTCCTAATGGTTAGAGGACAGTTACTTGAGTCGTCCCCTGTCGTTTCAAGGAATAGTACGACGGCGAGCGGGTCCAGTATAAACGCCTCGACCGTTTGGAGCGGTGCGCGCGCTGTCTGAGGAGACTCGCGCATACTTTTCGCCTGCCTCCGCAGCGCGAGTCTCCACAGTTTATTCTTGACCCGCTCGCATCCGGAGTCGTTGTCATGGCGGCACGCATTGTTTAGAGCAGATATAGGTGGATAAACAAGGCTTCCGTCTCCTCGCGGGTTCAGATTCACTGAAATACGTCCGCACCGCAAACATGTTGCTTCAGACAAGCACGTGCAGGTCGCGGTTTCTGTTTGCGTCATCACAACATTTCGGCCGTATTGTTTCGGTGATAAAAGTCTTTCGGCCGAAAACCGAAAATGCACTTTTGGGCCATTTTCGGCCGAAAAATTTCGGTGGCCGAATATTCGGTGCATCCCTATCAAGAAGGACTGGTTACATTTGGTGCCATGACCTGGACGGAGTGAGGTTTAGGGAGCTGAGTGTAATGGATGAAGGCCAGTAAGAGCTGTGCGTGTAAACCTCACTCCCCTGGTCTCAAGAGGCTTGTTAGCATTGTAAGCACGCCTGCTTTCTCCCAGTTCAAATTCTATTTGGAGCGGGTCAAGTAGGACTAAATGGTAAATGGACTGCATTTATATAGCGCCTTCATAGACCTAATGGCCACCAAAGCTAGGGTTGGGAATCGTGAGAAATTTTCCGGTTCCGGTTCCGATTCCGGTTCCGCCAAACGATTCCGGTTCCGGTTCCCATTCAATTAAAAAATATTAGTAAGAGAAAAATCCACAATCCTTTTTGTGTTTATTTCTTATAGTACATGACAAATTAGTTTAACAGACTGGTAATGTAAACAAACTCAAAATATTATTAAGCAATCTTTGCAAAAAAAAAAAAATTATATATAAAGGAAATAAAAAAATTCTGCATTCTCTATAATAATTTAGACCTCTCCTTTATTGTATCTCCAACAGTGAAGAATACCCTCTCAGAAGGAATAGTATATGCTTTAACACACATATGTGTGTAGAACAGATTATTTTTTAAAACGGTTTGAATGATTGATTCATAAAGACTTTACTTATTTCATTACTGGATAAATCGGCGCTCTAGCAGTTAATAAACAGAACTGCATGCGTCTTGCGGAAGAACATTGTTGCCGGAGCTACTTCTCTCTGTTTATATCCATGACGAGTCACGCAGGCATTGGGCTACTCCGCAGCAGCTGCGATCCGCCGGCCAGTCTAAAGAAGTCCGAGTATTAACGCTTATTACAGGCTTTACGTAGTGATTCAAGATAAGACAAAAACACGGTTTGAAAAAAAAACATTATGATGCACTCGCTCATTGTATATATTTTGTAAATTCTGAACACAAAAAATATACGGACTGCGTCTGTTTTGACCACTACCGTCAATGTTTACTCAAACTATAATCTCACTAATTCTGTAACGGAAATCATTTAAATATGTGAAACAAATAAATATTGAGACTGTGTGATTGTAAAGCAGTTTCATATCGACAACTGCTCTCTCTCTCTCTCTCTCTCTCTCTCAGCGCAAACTGATTTGAATGTAGGCTAGAGAGTGACTCGGCGGTCGGCGCGCGCAGCGTGCGTGTGTCTGTGTGTGACAAATGCAGCGCGTGTGAGAGCAAATCGCAACTTCAGTGGTGAAGTTTTTGTCATTTAGGAATAAGACGGCGTCTTCTACTCCCAGCACTTCGCCCACATGATGATATCGCATCGGCATCAGAACCGTTTTCGGAACCGAAACTTAGGAATTTTGCACGGTTCCGGTATTTTTTCAAAAACACAACCGGTTCTGGAAAAGAACCGGTTCTCGGTTCCCAACCCTAACCAAAGCGCTTTACATTTGCCTCACATTCACCCATTCATACACTCATTCACACACCGACGGCGGTGTCAGCCATGCAAGGCGCCAGCCAGCTCGTCGGGAGCAGCTGGGGTTAGGTGTCTTGCTCATGGACACTTGGTCAGGTGGAACCGAGGATTGAACAACCAACCTTTCGGTTCGTAGACAACCCACATGAACCACTGAGCCACTGCCGCCGACTAGTTACATTTGGTGGCGTGACCCGGATGGGAGTGAGGTTTAGGGGTGTGAGTATAATGGAAAAAGGTCAGAGCTGTGCTTGTAAACCTCACTCCCCTGGTCTCAAGAGGTGTGCTGGCATCTGACGCTAGCTGCTGCAGTCATTAGCGTCCTTGTAAGTGCTCGCTTCTGCTTGGAGCGGGTTGAGTAGGACCGGTTTCATGTGGAACATGCTTGACATATCTAAGTCACGGAAATAATGGCAGGACTACAAAAAAGGCTTTTCAGGCAAGCCCTAGCAGACTACCATGAGCAAGGTCTGACACATCTCGAGAGTTTTCCAACTGAACCATAAAGTTGGCACAAAGAACCTTAGGTTTCTTACCTAAGAAGGATTCTTACCTGGTGTCTACCATGGCTGGTTGGAAATGGTACCTCTGGATTCATACAATCATGTAGCGGGATGTGCGGGATTGCGTGGATGCCTCCATTACGGGAAACGTTACCAATGTCCCTTTAATACAAGTCATTTCACTCGGCGGCCATCTTTGAAACACCTCTCAGGCATGCAAGTGCAGCTCCTATGTCTTTGAATTGGGGAACATCAAATTCTCTGAGTCTGGGTGTTTGATGTGCACCCAGACTCAGCTACAGCTTAGGGTTTGGACCACGGATTCAACCCTTGCAGTTGCAGTACCTTGCAGTTGGTCACACCATTAACAGGGCCAGAGCCGTGGGAGCTTCTCAATTCTTATTTGTGCATCCTCGCTTCCTTTCCTCGTGTCTCAGCTCCACCCCCTGTAGGAAGCAAGTGAAGGCTGCAAGGAAAGAAAACAAGGATGGAGAAGTCAAAGGAAAGCTTATTTGTATACTGGTATATTCTTGATCACTCGAGTGTTACGTCAAAACGTCATCAACTGCACTCAAAGGATTTGTCCTTATGAAGTTAAAGTTTGGTTATTTAAGAAATGAATAAATAATTACGATTAAGCAAGATGCCCTGTTGATATATATGTGTGATATATGGTTTATTTAAACTGCAAAGGTAGCATAAATTAAAATCATTGACTGTTTTGGAGCGGAGGAGAATTTATACGTGCGTCAGGTTTCTCAACAAGAACAACATGACATCATGACTTTTGCGGAAACATACACGCCACTTTCGAGTCAAGTGGCGTGTTATCTTTACGCATTTTGAGCTATCCGCGTGTATGTCTACGCCATTTACGTCCGAGTGATTCGAAGCAAAATGTAGATCTACATCTGGGGAGCGATCTTTTTTTTCCTAGGATGGTAAGGGAACAGTCATAAATGCCATTAACCCCAGTGACGGTTAGGTTTAGGTACGGGGTTGAGGTAAATCATATATTTATGTAACGTTAAGTCAACGGCGTTCATAAACACGCTGAAAAGCGATTATGCGTCTTGATAGCACACCAAAAATGGAAATACGAATTGGCGTGTCATACACACGCTACTTCATGAGATCAGTCTGACAAGAAAGACTTCTGTATAGGATACACCTGTCATAGTTCCTCTGGAAGCTTCCTCGTGCCTCGTGGTGCAATTAGAGAATTGAGATGTCCTCAAAGATTGCTTAATTCGATCAGTTTCCGGGTCACATGCTGGAGGACAGAGGAACGAGGAAACTTCAGTTTGAGAATTGAAAAGCACAAATGTCTCCTGTTAGAAACCTTTCCCTTCCTATACCTCATATTTTGGATGTTGACATAATGTAGAGATCTCAATCGTCACTCCATTAGACCATTTTTAGTGACTTGGGCTGCCTTCTATGTGGTTTTCTTGGCTGACATCTGCACTGCTGCCACCTGGGATTCTCTTTGGCTGCTTTCACAAGGTCAATTCTGCAGTTTTTCCGGAGCAACCTTGACTAATTTTTCAGGTGATTGTGGAGGCATGAAAGAGGACACTAGTTGTGTAAGTGTAACACGGTTCTAGAAAGCTATCAAAGCTTGTTTTCTTTGGCCAGTAATCCTCACAGCTCAGCCCATGTCATTATATGACTTGTTGGTGTATTATTTCAACCTGTTGGTCTGGCACTGCGATAGTGCCGCCTGTAGCGGTCATCTGGAAATCACCTAACCACAGTTATCTAACTAGTTGTTTAGTGGAAGACATTGGCATGGTGACATTGTTTTGCTAACAATAGCAAAAACAAAGTTGCTTTATTAATACACAATACAGTTGCGTGTCACATACTGATGCACTGCTTAAAGCTACACTGTGTAACTCTTTTAGTTTATTCTTAGCTAAAAAACACTTAGTTCTTTCAAAAATATATGTGCTCATTAATGTATATTTACTTCGTTCAAGTAATAAAGTATTCTCGTGAGTGTATAATATGCCATTGAAAACACATACGGGTGAGGGGTTCTAATGTCGGTCGCCATGTTGCCCCTCCATCTTGAAAGTACATTAGCCAAAGAGGGACATACCCGTTAATTCAAGCTTCGCCTTTCGCGTTTACGTTTGAGTTAACACTCATGGACGAGGTCGAACTGGAAGACATGTTAATCTTGGACTACATTGGCCACCGTAGGAGTTAAAACGAAATCGGAATTGAGAGGAACAGAAACTAATATTCACTGGATGGTCATATACCTTTTCACAGCTAGATGGGGGTAAAAATCACACAGTGTAGCTTTAATAAGCACTTTCCAGTGCTTCTTGTTTTAACATGCATTTCAAACTCCAAAAAAAGCAGATTAAGGTAAGCAGACACAGGAAACTGGTTTTTGTTTTTCTATTAAAAATAATTTATTCCAGGACCACATATAAATAATTCTTGAAACACATTACAGATAATATTTGCTGTGAATAAATACCAAAACAAACCAAAAAACAAGGCTTTTCATACAATACTCTATGAAAGGTTGCACAAAAAATTTCTATCTTGTCATCTATATTCCTCTAGGTCTATAACTGGAATGTCACTAGTAAGTCAGGAGTACCGTTCCTAATTCCAGAGCAGCTTATTAAGTATTGTGTGCAAGTTTGTGATGATCTGAACTGACTGAACAGATCCAGTAGTTGAAGAGTAGACACTCTTAAATTTATGATTCGACTGCAAATTGTTCTGTGTATCATTTATCCAAAGCACATTTCTGTATAGGCCCACATTCAACTAATTCTCAAGTAGACAAAGCTAAATGTGGTTGCACAATACTGGACTTTAAAGATGGGAATGTTGAACACAGACAGTTATTTCTTTATAAATGATGCCACAGAAGCTAACTCTATCTTTTCTCTTCACGTCTTTGCAGATATTTCGCAAATATTCAAATAGAGCATGTCAGTTTGTGCATACTAAACATATGCAAAGGATAGACTGAGGCATTGTGTGTTTAAAGGAGAGTAGTGCAACCGAAAGAATGTGGCTGGGCAAGAACAGCAAGAAACGGGGAGTTCACAGATCTAGGAGCGGGGCGTTTCCCACCTGGGTTCGCTTACGTTTGGACCGATACGTTTTTCGTCTAGCTCGCGAAACAGTTTTTGGCACGCCAATTCCCTTCAGCTTAATAATGTCATTTCATCAGCTCTATTCATCGGGGAGGTGTCAAGTATCTGGGTTTCATTGCACTTAAGGAATTTTTCAGCCACAGAAAAATGAACATATCCATTCAATAGAACAGACCAAGTCATATGAAGTTTAGCAAGGCAAGCGAAAGTGAACAATAGTTTCAAGAGCAAGAAGGACTTGCGAAAAAGTGATCAATGGTAAACTAAAACATTCTCAAAGGCAACAGATTCGTTCTGCTTGCAGACATCACATGGTGCAGCAGGAAATGAAATTCGAGCTCTGCTTAGCGAGCTCTCATTGGCACTTAACCTACATTTTATGAATAAACTATCAAATGCTGTCCTTCGGTGGTCTCCGCATACCCTGTTGTACGTCTCAAAAGGCCTTTCTGCAGTCCACAGTGGCGATGCACATTGGCTTAGACACTTTCAGTAAATTAACTTTGGTCAAATTTGTTGATTCTTATACATGCTCACGTCAATTTTTCAAGAAAGTTTGCGATTAATTACCCTGTTCAATATAAACAGCAGACGCCACAGGTGCGCGACTAGACGTCCCTGTGTATCGTAAGTTTCTTTATGCTAGCATCTCACGTAAGTCCTATACACACACACACACACACACACACACGTGATACAAATGACCAAAACTTCATTCCAGAGGTAATCACCAATTCTACAGCACCACCGGGCTTTTTAGGCCCTGCCCAAGACAGGTGGAGGATTTTGGGCGCAAAGTTCCTTGTGTAAGAGTGTTCGCCACGATGAAATAGGCCCTTTTGGACACTGAACTGTTCGGTCAGCCTCGGTAAATCTGCTTGAAGTGGTCACATTCGTTACAGTAGCCTTGCTTCTCTTGATTGGCGTAGTGATCGCAGCCCTGCGTCTTGCAGCGCTGTTTGCTTTTCTCTTTGGGCGCCTGGGCGCGCCGACCCTCTCGCTGGCCTCGGCTGATGCAGTCCGGGCACAGGTCCGTGCAACCAGGGGACAGGTTCTTGCAACCGCTACGCCGACACTGAGCCTGGTGAGCACTGGTCAGCACTGGCGGTGGACGTGGTTTCGAGGCCCGCTGGACAGAAACAACAGAGCTTGTTGCTTTATTGGTTCCTCAACACTTAAGCGGAGCCAAACGTCCCCCACAACAGCAAATAAGGACACTTACCGTGACAAGAGGCGGGGAGTTGGAGCCCCTGCTAGCAGCTTGGTTGAGTCTAGCGCTTTGCTCCTTCACGAAGCACTTGTTGCAGTAACCCTCCAGCATGGCCTTTCCCTCGGCACCGCATCCCTGACCTCGGCACCGCGGACAGTTCTGGAAACCCGCCTCGGACGTGTGCCTGGGCTGGACAATAGCAGGGGTGGCCTCTGTGCGGACAAAAATCACACGTTTGCTCCTGTAGTCACAATGTCTATGAATTGCAAGTGGAGACTTTATAAACCCGCCAACGTGTTACTTATTATGTTTACTTTGCTGGGGAAGTTCATGTAGGCCGAATTTGTGCAGATGATTTATCATGAGTCATCATGATATATTGAATACAGTGTATTGCGCAGAATATATATAAGCTGCGACTAGGGCTGGGCAACGATTAATCGTGATTAATCGCATTCCAAAATAAAAGTTTGTGTTTACATAATATGTGTGTGTAGTGTGCATAATTATTTTGTTTATAAAAATTCACACATATGCATGTATATATTTAAGAAAAACGTGTTATTAGTATATAAAATATTAATATTAATATTTAATATAAATTATGTAAAAATATACATGCATGTGTCTGTATTTATATATACAAAATTATTATACACACTACACACATATATATTATGTAAAGACAAACGTTTACTTTGGATACGATTAATCGCGATTAATCGTTGCCCAGCCCTTCATCTGGAACATTTGTTCTTCTTTTAGTCTAAGTTGTGAATGGCCGGAAATTCACATTTATTTGTATAGCGCTTTTCACAATACACATCGTTTCAAAGCAGCTTTACAGAAGATGCACAAGTCCGCGTTACAATTTGTAGTGATTTGTTATCAGAGGCAAGTTATTAGGGCTGTGAAACGATTAATCGCGATTAATCGCATCCAAAATAAAAGTTTGTGTTTACATAATATATGTGTGTGTAGTGTGTATAATTATTTTGTAAATATAAATACACACATATGCATGTATATATTTACGAAAAATGAGTTATTAATATATCAAATATTTAGATTTATGTATATTAATTTTGTATAAATATATACTAGGGTTGTGAAACGATTAATCGCGATTAATCGCATCCAAAATAAAAGTTTGTGTTTACATAATATATGTGGGTGCACTATGTATAATTATTTTGTATATATCTAAATATAAATACACACACATGCATGTATATTTAAGAAAAAAATATTATTTATTCTTAATATATAAATTATATATAAATCTTTATACAGTGTATACATGAAAATATTTCTAAAATATATACAAGCATGTTTGTGTATTTATATATATATATATATATAAAATAATTATACACAGTGCACCCACACATATTATGTAAACACAAACTGTTATTTTGGATGCGATTAATCGCGATTAATCGTTTCACAGCCCTACAAGTTATGTATTTCAGAAATCACATACACAAACTCACAGTAAATTTAAACAGTGTTTCAATTTAAGGCAGAAACAACAAGCTCATTTAAGTAATGAATACCTAACAAATGATTATGACATTTAGAAAAATGTGGCATTTTAGGTCACTTAAAAATTATTCGGGCGAGTTAAAGAGGTCATTTCGGACCCTGATTATCATTAGAGAGATACTACAATAATTGCGTGTGAATGCAGAATAGTTGGACTTACGGTGATTGGTCTGGTAGTCTAGATAACATATAGTGCAGAATCCCAGCTTCTCTGCCGTCCCGAAGAACTGGCATCCGGGGCGTTTACAGGGTCGGGCGGCAGGCGTTTTCCAGGTGTGTCCGGTGGTGCCCGTGCGTTCGGTCTCCCGATGCGTTGCCCACACCGAGGCTTCAGTCGAAGGCTCCTCTTGCTGGGCGTCTCCCCTCTCGGAAACGGCAGTCCTCTGCATGCAGGGCGGGCAAAGACCATTGAATATCCTAAAAACCTCCTGTCGACACAGAACGCATCTCTCGGTGTCCCTTTCTCGTTCCCTTTCCCTCTCCGTTTCCTTCTCTCGTTCCCGGTTCCACTGACCGTGGCACCACCCGTGAGACGGCCTGTTGGCAGCGGACCGGTTTTGCCTCGCCGTAAAGCAGCGTTCACACAACCCGTCGTGCTCCACACTGAGTGTGAACAAGCATCCGGGTGTCTTGCACTTCATGGCGTGAGTCTCACTGTAAAGGCTTAGACTCGGGGCCGTAGGGGGAGCCGAACGAGGGCTGGGGAGGACGGAGCGCTCCAGTCTCGCTCGGCTCTCCGGGTCCGAGGACGACGAGTGATTCGAGCTGGAAATGGCCTCTGGTTTCCGACCCGCCTGCCGCTTTTCGAAGCACTCGTGACAGTGGGGTTGTGTGTCCACCGAGACGTAGAAGGTGCATCGGGGTGTGGCGCAGCGGATCTCGATGAGAGAGAGTTGGGAGACCGAGAAGGGAGGGGGACGCTGGGACACATGGGGGGCCCACGATGACTCCTTATCCTCTTGCCAGCGCTTATATTCATGGTTTACCAGTTGTAGGTAGTCCTCCATCAGGTTCATATCCTCGGGTAGGTTGCCTTCATCAAGTCTGATGAAGATTTAAGAAAAGTCAAGTCACCTTTATTTATATAGCGCTTTTTACGATACAAATTGACAGCTTTACAGGGATAACGGGCAAATAATGGGATGTTTCTAGAAGAAAATAGCATCATAGTCCAACTTTTGTTGTTGTAAAAAAGGACGCCACAACTTTTTAGGGTTACACTGAGCAAGACTTCAACAAAGAGTGTGTTTAACTCATACCTGGCCGCAGTGATAATCTGTGTGGGATCGTAGCCCAGGCCAATGACAGGGATTTCTATAAGCATTAGGTAGTCTTTTAGCAGCTTCTCCTTCTGTTGCTGCTCCTTTTCTGTCAGGAAGTGCAATCGAAGCTCCTCAAACCCTCCCCGTCCCGGGTTTATCAGCGGCACCGCGCGGATCTCTGAACGGGGACACAAACATCACATATTCAAATACACTGGGCCGACTAAGAGCTAGAGCAAGACTTTTTGTTTTTTGTCAATGAGTTTGATAATGTTTTCATATTTTGCATTTTTTTTTACTAAATTATATTTACGCTGTATTAATAATAGATTTATACTAGGGCTGTCAAATGATTAATCGCGATTAATCGCATCCCAAATAAAAGTCTGTGTTTACATAATAAATGTGTGTGCACTGTGTATAATTATTTTATTTGTATATATATCTAAAAATACACACACATGCATGTTTATTTAAGAAAAAATATAATTTATATATAAAATATTCATGTATAATATAAATTATATATAAATCTATATACAGTATATACATGAAAATATTTCTTAAATATATACAAATATGTGTGTATTTATATATATAAAATAATTATACACAGTGCACCCACATAAATTATGTAAACACAAACTTATATTTTGGATGCGATTAATCGCGATTAATCGTTTGACAGCCCTAATTTATACACTTTTTGAGCATAGACCTGACAATTAAATTTCCAACTTAAACTTTGTAAACCTTGAAAGCTTTAAAGCAACAGATTTAAGTTTGATCTCTTTTTAAAGACGAGTTGGCAGATTATTGCTGAAGAGAAAAAAGTTTTTAAAAAGTAAACAAAAAAGGAACAGAATTTTTATTGTTATGAAAAAAATACTTTTTAAAATTTTTATATGAACTATATATTTTTAAAATCACGTTTTACTGTAAAACTGCAAGAAAATCAAAGCGATTAATCTAAATAAGTAGTGCTCCAAATTTGAGCTTGGTTTCTTTAAAATTTAGCTTTCAATAATTTTAGTTTGGCCGCAATACCAAAAGTTTTCACTAGATGAAATTCCTCTCCCATTCATTTCCAATGCACTCATTTTAGACCGCGAGGAGCACAAGTGTGACTTTTTTTTTTACAGGACCATTATCGCTTTATGTCATGATTTTTTTTGTGTGTTCAGACAAGTGCAAAAACCTTTACCAAGTTTAAACTTCAGGCGACAGTGTCTAGTGACGTACCTGGGCCGCTATCTTTGATTGTGATCAGGGGTGCAAAGTGCTGGGAGTCATATCCAAGCACTATGGGATATTTGTAGCATTCTCCGGGAGGCCAGTGCAAAGGCAGGTATATGCCCCCCACATTGAGGGGTGAAAACGAGGAACCAGACTTCATACTTCTAAGTACTTGGTCTGTTGAGAAAAAAAATCATATATTATGGTCATGTTGTTGCACATGTGTTTGTGCAATTCTATTGAAATGCAAAAAAATATTGTTGGTGTAACTTAAAAAAGTAAGTAACCTGGTTGCCTTAAAATTTTAAGTTGATTGAAATGGAAAAAGTGAGTTAATACAATGAAGGAGAATGATTAATCATCTGAAACTCAAAATTATGTGTTGTCTGAACTAAATTAATTATTTAAGTTGATTTGACAAAAGAAAAAAATGTTGTGATTGCTAATCATGAAAAGCATGAAAAACATTTTTTAATTGCATTTAACCCAAATTTGGGTTTGTCCATATTTGACCCATATTTGAAATTTGGGTTCAAACAACCCATCATTTTTTTAGAGTGTAAAATTTTATTTTTTCATGATTAGTAATCACAACATTTTTTCTTTTGTCAAATCAACTTAAATAATTTATTTAGTTCAGCTAACATATCATTTTGAGTTTCTGATGATTAATCATTCTCCTTCATTGTATTAACTCACTTTTTCCATTTCAATCAACTTAAAATTTTAAGGCAACCAGTACTTACTTTTTTAAGTTAAACCAACAATATTTTTTACAGTGTGTATTACGGATACGTACCTGCAATAACAATAATCGGCCTCCGTAGAATATTTGAAAGCACAAATATGTGAATATCCTCTAAAGAGTCAAACTGTAGGCCATTACTGCTGGACACTGGAGAAGCCATTTCTACAATCTTAACCCATTCCTCCTCCCAGTTCTGGGAAACAAAACAAATTGCAATGAGTTATACCCTTGTCATATGATTATTGTGGACAATTCTGCATGTTCGTCATGAAGTGCTTACCAAAGTGCTGTATCTCAGACCGGTCTGGGTGAACTCCTGCGAGTGCAGAAGCTCTGTCTGAAAGCGTGTCCTAAAGTTACTAGTGTCTGTTTCCTTCAGTACTGCGTAAAGAGCCTTTCTGAGCACCAGGTCTGTGTCCTGAACCCCTAGTAGATACTGAGAGGCTGCGTGAAGCAGGCAGTTCCCATCACCTACAGCAAAACACACAAACACAGTCACAACCCGTTTAAAAGACACAGTCCAAACACAGCTGGGCTGAAACAAGGCAAAATTTGGGCTCTCTGTCAGTGAAAATTCACTAATAAATGATCTAAACCATAACCCAAGAATAGACTAGACATCAATTAGATAACAGAGGAATGAAATGAGTAATGACATGAAACCAAACACCTTGTAATCACGGTTTACTTTGCTTCAAACATCTTGCACAATCTTTTGGCAAAAACGAGTTCTTAAAGGAGTAGTTCACTTAAAAAAAAAAAACTTTTGCTGATAATTTACTCACCCCCATGTCGTCCAAGATGTCCACGTCTTTCTTTCCTCAGTCGAAAAGAAATGAAGGTTTTTGATGAAAACATTCCAGGATTTTTCTCCATATAATGGACTTCAATGGGAACCAAACGGTTCAAGGTCCAAAAGACAGTTTCAGTGCTTTAAACGACACCAGACGATGAATAAGGGTCTTATCTAGCAAAACCATTGGTCATTTAAAAAATAAATAAAAAAGTTTAAGTTTTATAAGCTCAAATGGTCACCTTGCTCTGTTCTGTGACGAGCGTTCGTGACTCTCCTGTTCAAAATCGTTCATCAAAATGAACAAATCTTTTTTCCTAGATAAGACCCTTATTCATCGTCTGGTGTTATTTAAAGCCCTTTGAACAGTTTGCACTGAAACTCTCTTTTGGACCTTGAACCGTTTGGTTCCCAATGAAGTCCATTATATGGAGAAAATCCTGGAATGTTTTAATCAAAAATCTTAATTTCTTTTCGACTGAAGAAAGAAAGACATGGACATCTTGGATGACATGGGGGTGAGTAAATTATCAGCAAAAGTTTTTTTTAAAAGTGAACTACTCCTTTAAAGCTAAAAGAACAAGTTCATAAAAGTTCTTAAAGGACATGAAACTTGCAGTTCCTGTTTGGACTTTCACAATCATCAAGATTGACATAACATAGAGAGCCTTAGCAACCGGTTGGCATGCAATGAGTACATACACAATCTTTGCTTTGTTGTTGCATAGACTGACGGCAATCTCTTTTACACCTAAAGGTTAGTTCAGCTGTGTTTGTCAAGACGAAGATTAAGGATGAGATAAAAGCAATTCAGGGGGATTTCCACAAGAGTTGTTAAAGCAGTTTAAAGATATCAGTTTCATCCAAACTGTGTGCATTTTAAAAACAGAACATGTGACCACAATATCCATGCAAAAGCAATTAAATCCAACTCCCAACAGCAGTTTCAACGAGTCTCAAAACTCGGTGAAAATCAATAACTTTGCTGTAACCTAACCATTCAGTCACCTAAAAAAAAAGCAAGCGTGCTCTGCAGAACTTTGTACATGGCCTAGATTGTGTGTTCTTTCTGATGTTGTGCAACATGTGTGCTCAAATGCATTTGCATGTGCGCGCGAGCGTGTGTGAAACAACTGTGAGGAATTTCCCTAGTATGTGATTGTCTGATTAAGCGCCGTAAGGGCTTGACTTCAACTTTTTGACTCCTCTTGACACAAGAGCCGTGATATAAAGCATCTGGACTTTCCAAAGAGGAGGGCCGACGCCGTACAGGAATGCCTGTGCCGTGCCCATCTCCAGTCTGAACATATGATCTAGTTCCTGTTCTTCAAACCTGTGCTATTGTCCAACGCCGTGGTTTGTGTTTGTACGTGCTATCGACACAAAAGACCAAAATGTTCCCAAGTAGATGGAGGTTTTAACAATGCAATGCATAACATACTGTGTTTTCTTTTTGTTACACAAGAGTAAGTTTCTGTATGACTTTCAACTCTAGTAACATAAAATGACAAATTCTACATCACCTCTAAATCACTCTCATTAACATTAAGAAATGGATCTGAATTGATAACATTACAAATAAATAGGGCTGTCAAACGATTAATCGCGATTAATCGCATCCATAATAAAAGTTTGTGTTTACATAATATATGTATGTGTAGTGTGTATAATTATTTTGTATATATAAATACACACACATGCATGTATATTTAAGAAAAAAATATTTATATATAAAATATTGATATTTATATATAAATCTAGTATATACACGAAATATTTCTTAAATATATATACAAGCATGTGTGTGTATTTATATTTAACATAATTCTACACACTACACATACATATATTATGTAAACACAAACTTTTATTATGGATGCGATTAACCGCGATTAATCGTTTGACAGCCCTACAAATAAACTATCTAAAGGTAGTACTGCTAACTTATAACTTAGCCACAAAATATGTAGTTTTTCCAGTTACAAATTATGGTGTAAATCCAGATTTAAATGTGGTGTTTTTAATGTACTTTAAGACAAACCATGGACTGTCAAACGATTAATCGCGATTAATCGCATTCAAAATAAAAGTTTGAGTTTACTTAATATATGTGTGTGTAGTGTGTATAATTATTTTGTATATATAAATACACACACATGCATGCATATATTTAAGAAATATTTTCATGTATATATTTATACAAAATTAATATTATACATAAATATAAATATTTGATATATTAATAACACGTTTTTCTTCAATATATACATGCATATGCGTGTATTTAATACAAAATAATTATACACACTACACACACATATATTATGTAAACACAAACTTTTATATTGGATGCGATTAATCGCGATTAATCGTTTCACAAGTCGACAGCATTGCTGAGTATTTCCTCCTTAAAACTGCAGTGAACCAAAGACAGTTTGAAATCGCTGGTGTTTCTGACGTCACAAACGACCTTGTAACCAATCAGATCAACATGTGATCGTCAACCAGCGGATCCGAGGAAAAACATTTACATAGGCCTATGTCATTTAGGTGAGTTTTAAGAGATACCAGGGGGACTTTGACAAGTCGGGGTTTTACGTTACAGCAGCTGGAGCTCAATGTCCTCTTTAAAGTGGATTCATTTAAGTCAAGCAATTAACCTGGACTTTCTATCATAGAAGATTTACCAATTTGTCCTTGCACATTTGGTCTCAACCTTTTTTCAAAATTAAATTTAATTTCTGCTTATCACCATTTTGGTTAAATTGTGTCTCGTTTAAGTTTGATTCATTTGAGTTACATATGTGTGAAGATATTCCCTCCTCAAATACTTTCAGTTCGCCACTTTCTGTTAATAGTTTGCAGTGTCGATTACCATATTTTCAGCTTGATTGTATTTAAACACTTTACTGTAAATTATGTGATACTTGTCACTTGGGAAGTTACAGTTTCAACCCCACAATGGAGAACAGAAAATGAACACACAAAACATGGATACAAACAACATCTGCTATACAACCACATCCTCTTCAACACGTTCTGCAATAATTGTCACAGCAGAAAAGAAAATGATTGTGTAAATAAAATTAAATTGTCCAGTTCTCCCATTTTACTGTCATACGATCAGAGTAACGATGTCACAAACTATTTAACTTTGTAATTTTGTCTTATCAGAAGTCATCCATTATAGGGCTGTGAAACGATTAATCGCATTCAAAATAAAAGTTTGTGTTTACATAATATATGTTTGTGTAGTGTGTATAATTATTTTGTATTAAATACACACATATGCATGTATATATTTGACAAAAATGTGTTATATTAAATATTTATATTTATGTATAATATTAATTTTGTATAAATATATATAAAGTATATACATACAAATATTTCTTAAATATATAACATGCATGTGTGTGTGTATTTATATATACAAAATAATTACACACACATATATTATGTAAACACAAACTTTTATTTTGGATGCGATTAATCGCGATTAATCGTTTCACAGCCCTAATCCATTATCAATACCAATTAGGGCTGTCAAATGATTAATCGCGATTAATCGCATCCAAAATAAAAGTTTGTGTTTACATAATATATGTGGGTGCACTGTGTATAATTATATATATATATATATATATAAATAAAATACACACAGATGCATGTAAATTTAAGAAAAAAATATAATTTATATATAAAAAATGTATGTATAATATAAATTATATACAAATCTATATACAGTATACATGAAGATATTTCTTAAATATATACATGCATGTGTATTTATAGATAAAAAATAATTATACACAGTCCACCCACATAAATTATGTAAACACAAACTTTTATTTTGGATGCGATTAATTGTTTGACAGCCCTAATACCAATTAGTCCATTCGTTACTCATGTTGTATAACTGCACTGGGGTTTAATAAGTAAATCAATAAATACTTGCTTTATATAATAAAAATTATTGTACACACTAATGGTAATCAATTCAAAATATTCCCGTATCTCAAACTGTACAGAAATGGTGGCAAAGTCATGATTAAATTCCCAAGGAATGCAAAAACTTTTGATATTTGCTTTGGATAAATGCATAAATGTACCAAATAGCACCAATCTGCTTTAATAGCACCAGACTATTGATCGAACTAAACGAGTAAACAACAGCAGTCTCAAACAAACATGCAGATAGGAACTAGGAAGTTGTGATCCTCACGCGCAAGGGCTTTTTTTTAACACAAACAGACAAACACAGATACATGTTTTGAAGGAAACACAAGCCTAGCACTAGCACACCTAAAATGGCCATTTTGGCTGCATTGTGTATTACGTTATTAGCGGTGTTACATTTATTCCAGTCCCCCTCTATATTCTAGCACGGGTCTTGTCGGCGCAATCCGTTTCAAACAACATGTTCCAGTCTAGCGCTTTCATAATCCCGTGTGATTTAAAACAGGAAATTCCCGTTTCATTATGAGGCCAAATATGTGCTGTCCAGAATTTTTTTTTTTAACGCAAGAAATTTACCAGAATACACAAACGAGAAGCTATCAGACACGGCGAAATGATATCTACTGTCACAACTGCGTAAAATGATGAAACGAACAAACTGTTGACTATTCCAGATAAATGGTAATAAAAGGTAATGCGATGTTTACCTAATTTCAGTTACTGTAAATAGTGACTGTACAATGGAGCAACAATGGCAAGTACAGAGAAGTTTCCCTCACAGCATTACTCATAAGAGTAGAGCAGAGCGACCTGACCCTGAGCTAGCGAGAGTCACACACACACACACACACACGCTGGGGCCCAGCATCACAGCACGGCCCCGTAGAGCAAACCGAGGGGAAAAACATCCGTGTGACAGACAGTGCAGGATTTTCCCGTCCGCCATGAAGCACAAGTGGTCTAACGATAGAGCTTTTTTAATATCTTTACATCTCATAATTCTGATAACAACAGCACTTGAGATGCATGTAAAATCACTGTGATGAATTTAATACGTTTTTACACTATGAGAGAGATATCACTTGTGGGTTACACTTTATAATAGTAATTATACATTTCAGTACTGACTGTAGGGTTAGGATTGGTTTAGTTGCATGTAATTAAGCATAATTTATATTTTATTAACGTAACAATGACACTGCAAAATAAAGCGTTGACCACTTTTGTTAACTGACCAAGAAGGCCAAAAAAAAAAAGGGGAAATAGGCTAAAATATATCAGCAGTTATAACACTAGTTATAATAACATCCATATATTATGAAGCAGGTTCTGTGTTGGGAGTAATTATTTACTGTAATTTAATTACGTTTCTCTTGAAAACGTTTCTCTTAATTTTTCTGTATAACAATTCAGTATAGACTGTAGAACAAATGTATATCAAACAATATTTTTTTATTGTTTAAAGTTGAAATGTATGTTTTTAATGAAACCTTGTCCCTTTGGTCAGTTTTTGCAATTTTATGTTATTTATTTGAAGGAATTAAAGCAGTCTCCTTGTATTGTTGAAGGGTTGATTAGGGATTTAGAAAGTAATTATTAAGCAATGCACTACCTTTTCGTACAGATTGTAATTGGTACCTGATTTTTTTAGAGTAACATACCCAACACTGAGCGCTTCCCAAGAAGTATACGAAGCGAGTATACGACCATTATTAACTAATATAAACCAATACAAAGTAAGTTTAACGTCGCCGTTTCATCGGAAGGAAACGTGACTTGCGCTCGAGCCGATAAAAATCACAGCATAGTTACCGTTGGTTCTCAGCGGCACCAGCTTCTTGACCTCACGGCACCAGTTCAACCTCTTCTCCTGCTCCAGCGAGCTCTGCATGGCCCTGTCCAAGATGGCCGCCTGGATGACCTCGCGGAAGGCCTGCGGGAACTGGCTCATGCGGATCATCTCCAGGGTGTAGCGATGCATGCTGCGCAGGTGATGGATCAGGCCGCCGCTGGACGAAGCCTTGACCACGTCATTGGGAACCCGCTCTCTGATTTTCACGGCCTTCAGGAGGTTACTCACGAACAGGAACTTGGGCAGGAAGTTCTGGCCCTGGGACATGGTGATCTGGAGTGGGGAACCAATCTATCACTGTGAAAGAAGACATGAAACAACACCACCATTGTCAGGAGCGCTCAACCCACGACCATGTGCAGCACACACACACACACACGAGAATTTCCCCTTATTTCCCTCCACCATAAAGGTGAAAAACTGAAAGACTGATGGTGGCCCCTGAAAGCTACTGGTGTATTCCAGTCTCATGGTAAAGAGCTCTTAAGGTCAGATGAGTGAAAGGCGAAGATATTTATAAGTCCACCCCCACAATCAATTTTCCAAAACTATCATAGATGGGTTCAGACACACACACACACAAAAAAATGCCATTGACTGCAAGGGCACCATTTATTTGTCTCGGCTGCTGCCGGGGTTCTTTAGGGACAACTTATTCAGTCAGACAGTGTTCTCTTAAAAAACGCGAGGAAAGCGACATCCAGTTTTATTAAACACAAAGCACAAAAGGGACAATAGAGACCGACGCGAAATATTAGGCTATAACATCAGTTGCTGACGCTCGAATTACGTAATTGCCTTGACAGAAGAGCCGTTAGAGACAATGGAACGCCGTAGCACTCGAACGGAAGCTAAATGTCCCCATGGCAACAATAGAACGTTTTCTCCGTTAAACGTTCTTAATCGCTGATAAGTGACGTCTTCGCAAACAATGGCTGTCAAAACCCGTGGCGTATCCGTCCGTACAAGACAGCCTGGCGTTTGAGCTTGAGACAATACGGGAGAAATCAAGCTCGCTCGCTTTAGGAAAGAGTCTAAACGCGACATTAGAGAGGCGAGGGAACGGGCAGCGATGGATCGGACAACTCTTACCTGTTCTATATGTCGGTATCCACCAACAAAGCCCATAAGATGCTCTGGCTCTGCTGCTACTTCACTCAGTCCACTTTAATCGTCCATGGCGCTTTAAGAGATCCACTGGATTTCACAGCTCGCTTGAGACGCGTCCAAAACACGGCAAAGTATACGCTCTAGTTCAGACAGCCCGATTGATACCAGTACATAAAAGCCAGGGGATTTCCATAAGGTACTTTCCACTTTCACAACCCATTATAAGCGTTTTCTCTTCGTCTTCTCCGCCAGGGGGAGTCAGTGCGCGCGAGTGACGCTGAACGCTTACGTTACGTGCCAGTCGATGACGTGTTTGATTCGCCACACCCATAGCTGGTAGTTATGTGAGATATGGAAACATAACAACACTGGAAGTCCCAGCCTGTGCATTTTACACGTTCCATTTAATGTAAAGAATGAATGTGCATTACAAGAAAGGAATTTTTATGGGGTAACACGAGGGTTATTCTGTCTTTTTTTTTTCATTTGTGACTTGCTGTTAAAGTAGGCTAATTCAATCAAACAAGGGTTACGCTTTATGTTAAGGTGTCGTTTTGAGCAACTACATGTAGCCTAATTTCTATAAGGTTAGGATTTGGTTGAGGGTTAGATGGATGGAGTTATGCATAATTTACTGTTATGGTAAATGTAACAAGGACACTCTATGATAAAGTGTTACCCAAACAAGTATAACGTTTGTGTTCATTCATGGCATGCCATCCACATTCGTCATCATGACTTCAGAAAGGTAACAGGGTTGACAGAAACAACCCAGATAACAGAAATAATGTTCTCTCAAAGTTATGATCAACGTTCTGATCTTTAAGAATATTCTCAAAATGTTAGCACAAAAAGTTAACATTTGTTAATTATTTGAATTAAAATGAAGAAAAAAAATTATCAGCTGTATTTTTATTAATAACAAAGATGAATAAATACTGTAATACATGTATTGCTCATTGTTAAGTCATATAATTACGTTAACTAATGAACCTTAGTGTAAAGTGTTACCTTTTTTTCTTTAATGTTTTAGTGCGTTCCCTTTTTAAGTGTTGCCACCTGATGTTCAGAGAACATTCTAAAGTAACATTCCAATGATGTTTGAAGAATGATAAAATGGAATTTTTCCTTAATGTTTGCATAACCAAGAAAAAAAACCCTGTAGCCTACGTTTTGCAAATTCATAGAACATTCGGACGTTTTCATAACTTAATGGAAAAGTGCAAGTGAAACGTTTAGAGCTGGGAAGATTGACATGTTTAATTCAATATTACGAAGAAAGTGCTCCTTAGAAAGAAAATTTAATGCTGCTATTATACAAATATTCACATTTCAATTGTTTACTGTAAAATCTTGGTATGGGGTTAATATAGTGTCCTCTACAACAAACTTGAACTTGATGAGTATGTTTATTAGTAGATTACCACCACGGTAAAATGTATAGCCTAATGAATATAGACTGTATTGAATATATGAAGAGTTCAGATGCAAAACCCTCTAAATGCCATTTGAAATTTTCTTCTTTAATGATGATTTTTATCAAACTTGTATATTTAAGTTCAGTAATTTCACTTAAATAACAATTAAGTAATTAGCATTGCCATTTAAGTGAAATCACTGAACTTAAATATACAAGCTTGATAAAAATGATCATTCTAGAAGAAAATTTCAAATGGCACTTAGAGGTTTTTGCATCTGAACTCTTCATATATATGTAATGAATATATATATGTATTAAAAAAAATGTTCACACTTTATGATAGACACAAAGAACGCCCATTTTGCAGAATGACAAGGCAGATTTGCTAGGCGAATCATAAAGATTCATATAGTGCACTGCATGATGATGATGATGTGGGTGTAAAGTTTAGAGTGCATGTCATTCAAGAGAACTTGATCAGAAGTTCCCATCAATAAAATAGTGTAATAAAGAGTGACTGACATTTCATTTCTTGCCAGGGTCATTCATTCTTTATATTCAATGCTTTCCAAATGTCTTGGTAACACTAACTTTGATTAATAACATGAACACACATCTGCTAAACTAGTGCTGACCTCGATACTTTAAATCCTATGCCCTGAATGCATTGTGTGATACTGTAGATTTATATTTCTTAAGGCTCTACTACATGAATCAACTATGATTTAAGAGATTTCAGCCATAAATAAAAGAACATAATAGTATATTAAACTAATTAGAAATACATTTTAAAGACCTGACACCCTGCAGTGCCTCAAACTTTAGTTCTTTTCCCATGAAATCTGAATCAACATGTCTTGTTATTTCATAGAATTTGCAGTATTTATTATAAATTATTAATGATTTTTTTTTTAAAACAACCTCTGACTCACAGCAAACGACAGTCAATTCCTGATGTTTTTCCTCCTTCGAGAAGCTGTTTCGCTCAGATATATGTCACAATAGGGAAGAAAAGTCAGCTATGGATTCTGGTTCATGGCGACTTTAAAGGGAACTAAATGTGCAAAGTGCACATCCCGTAACCCAATGAGAAATATACAGAAATCCCTGCAAAGGAAACTGAAGAATAACAGTAATTGCATTAGTTTACTTCCATTCATTTGCATGACACACCATATATGAACGGGAAAAGCATTACGCAAAGATGACGTTTCTTTTGATATAAAGAGAAATTACTGTAGAAAATACCCTAACAACTGGGCCTTTTAAACATGAATGACTAAACAACTGTTTGATTTTTGATGTTGAAATATTCTAATATATATTTTGATTTATCTCTTAATTTCTTTTTGCTTTCACTTTATTTTGATGCTCCCTAACAGACTTTATACTAACTATGAGCAACTTTGCAACTACGTCAACTTATTCTAGTAACCCTAACATTTTAATACTATAATGAGAGTTAGTCAATGCAGTGAAACATTACTTATAGTCAACAGAGTCTGTTAAAGGGAACCTTCGAAACAAATTAAACAATTATAATTTATGATATAATTTATTCATGATGAAACACGACCAATGATTCTGTTTATTACTGTGCAACACTGCAGTTCCTATGTTGTGTTTATTTGAGCTTTCATGCATATTACACATTGGAGTGTCGTTGCGGTTCACGGTCAGGGACTATTTTTTTCAAGCGGATTCAGCGGAAGGAAGCTTTTTTTCACTCGAGTTGCGAAAAATAAAATGTTTTGTCTTACCTAATTATAGTAGCCGTTGTCTCACTTCCTTGTAACGTTACCTGACTGGCATTACAATCCACCGACAAGAAAGTTCAATCCATGTTATTTCTCTCGTTATTCCAAGCTTCATTTCAGCTACACATTTCAGCCATAAAAGTCCACTTGATATCGCGGTGATGGATGACAAATGCAACCTTGCACATGTACATTCTGACTCGAGTTAACTCGCATAATAACTTGAACTTGCTTGATCATATCTGTGCTCTCTGCTCTTCATCGAGTCTGAATCTGACCACCAAAACTTAAAGATTAAACAAGACGGTTCATTTATATTATTATAAACATTGGAGAAAAAGTAAAGCGTGGTTTGGCGGAAGCTCTGCTCTGGTTACCATAGAAACATGACACGCGCTTGAGATCGCACGGGTATTACACACAATGTTAAACAGACCCGGGATGTGAAGTAATAGATTCGGACCCGACCCGGTTGAACGGTTGATCACTGTGAAGACCTCTAGTGCCTGGTTGTGGAAGAAGACAGTCGCTGCATAAGCTTCCTCTGGATTCCAATAGGACTGCATGGATAAACTTTATTTTTAATGACGTTCCAGCTGATGAGGTAAAACATCGTCCGTCTGTTCGCTTCATTTCACTGAGGATTGTTTTGTAAACAAGACTGGATTTGCAGACGATTAAGAGTAAAGAACGGTGCTGTGCCGTATAGTGGATCTGACAGGAATAGTGCAACACACGGACTCTGGGTCGAACATGTATGGGCCAATCATTCCGGTTTCCATTTTACAACATTGGACAGAACAATTTCCCTTACGTACACCGACGGGTGAGTTGAAACTTATTATAATATGCAAAACTGTTCTCCACTCGCAGCAGTGGGCGTTTACTTCTAAGTCTTCAGTGCGAGACGCCCATAAAAACCCAGCGTTTATCCGCTAGGCTCAAAACTAGGGTACAAAATAGCCTATTACTTATTCATTTGGACGTTTTTGAATGCAAAAACCAAGCGAAAGTCATAAGTTGACCTCAGACAATAATATAATACAATTTAAAAAGCCAGTTCATGACCCCTTTAAGGGTAACACTTTACAATACGGTTCATAGTTAGCATTAATGTAACTAACATGAACAATATATGTGTTACAGTATTTATTAATCTTTGTTAATTCTAATACAAATCCAGCTGTTCATTGTTTGTTCGTGTTAGTTCACAGTGCATTAACAAATACAATCTTTGATTTTAATAATGTAGTAAATGTCGAAATTAATATTAACTAAGATGAATTAATGCTGTAGAAGTATTGTTCATTCTTAGTTCATGTTAACTAAGGTAGTTGAAACTTATTGTAAAGTGTTACCGTAAGTTGTTTAACAACATTTTATTTTTAATTGTTTATGACGCAGTTTATTTTCAAAAGCCAATTATTTTAACAAACATCATGTTTTCCGACATGAATTCCTATAAAATAGTCAGGAAAACGTATCCATTCAAAAATCATAAAAAGAAACAAAAAGGCTTTTGAAAATTAGTTGAGATAATTGTATGATTCCACCATTAAATCTTAGATATTTGTTTTCTAGATATTAAAAAAAAAAATAACGTTTAATCTTCATTTTTTATCTTCATCATCTTGGACATTATTTGTCATTAATTCTGAAACAAAAACTCAAGAATATTTACTGTATTCCTGCATGACACTGTAAGGCAGCAATTCACATCAATAGGCCATGAATCATTTTGAATATTGTAAAACTATGTTCAGGTTTTCCCAATTCACTAATCAGCACAGATTGCCTCAAAGCCTTAATACAACACACAGAAGTTTGTGGTGATCTCTTCCTGTCCCAGTTATTTTTCCTAATCTTTAATCTAATTGTCTGTCGACGGAAACTCCCACAAGGTTATTTACTGCTGCAGAAAATACACAAGACTTCAAGAACACACAGTGGATCTACTAACCTACTTACTAGTTTTTCGGCTTAAATCATCAGTTCTGAGTTAAAACTACAGTATTGTGCTGTTACGAGTTCTTGCACCTTTGATCAAATGTTAGGAGTAGGA